TCTTCTCTCTTCAACCTCCATTCTCTTCTCCTTTCCAGTCTCCTACTCACGGCATTTCCTGTTTTCAAGGGAGTCGTGGAGTGAGTGGTCGATCTTTTGAAAACATTAGTTTTGTGAAGATTTTCTTGAGAATCAGTTGTATCACTAGCTGACTGGGAAGTTGTGTCAGATTGAGAGCTTTCCTTTAAAGAGGTCAGTTCTCTTAATAACCTCTCCCTCTCACTTTCAAAGCTTTTTCTTTCTTCTTCAAAACTTTTTCTTTGTTTTTCCAAAGAGATATGTAAATTTTCGAATTTTCTAATTAGTGGAGGGATGTAAGATTCTTCTTCACTTGACCCTGAGGTTGAAGGGGTTTCTGGATCCGACACAGCTTCCTTCTCAGAAGGATAAGGACTCACACTCTCATCAGTTGAGAAAACAGGTTCAGCATTTTCATAACTTTTATTCAGAGAGTCATAGTTGAAAGGAATTTCTGTTCTGGAAGGGTTTGATCGCTTTACCTCTTCTTCTTCTGCCGTTTCTTTTCCATAGGTAAAAGCCATCAACTTAGTCAACCCTAACCCCATATAATTTATGTCATAAAGTTGAATACAATCCACTTTCTTCAGATTATTGGGGTTAGTAAGACCAAGACCCTCCTTAGAGTTATAAAAGCGAGTGTCTTTGTTCTGATTGAGAAAAATGGTTTGTTCTGTTTGTCCTCTCTTGGCAAGTAGATCTTCTAATTCTTTGATTTTTGTGTAAAGAGTACACCTTTTTTCATGTAGAAAATCATTTTCGGCTTTTGCAACGTTTCGTTCTAATTCAGTCTCAGAAACTTTCCTTGTTAGTAGAGCTACCTTTTGGGTGAGTTGATCTAATTCTAAAGTTCGCTTCTTGACAATTTCTTTTTCATTTTCTAACTGTATGCTCAGAGATCTGACTTTATCTAGACTGTCAATTAAATATTTATGGTTGATGTTTCTCTTGTCTCTTAGCTCCATAATTAGATTGTCTTTGACTTGTGAAGAGTGAACTTTACAAGAGCAGAAACAGACGGTTTCAGAGTTACTTACAGTGATGTTTGAGCTTGAGCTTGTACTTCCTCCGGGGATCGCAGCATCACCCTTTTCCTTTTCTTCTTCTTCTACAAGCGCCATCAGGGCCAGATTTTCCTCTTCTTCTTCATCTGAACTCTCCTCCTGCCACGGGTCATTCTCAGTAAGTGTTGCAGCAGTATCATCATCTTGTTTAGCCATGAACATTTTCTGTTTGTTCCACAGCATCTTCTGCTTGTAATAGTTGAAGTCCCTTTTTCTTGGTAGGCGACAGTCTTTGATAACGTGTCCAGCCTTTCCACAGTTGAAGCATTTGGGGGGATCTTCTGCTGCAACAGCTCTACTGGAAGAGTTCTGATCATTGTTCTTTGTTTTGTAATTGGCAGAGGAGGTTCGCAGCTTGTTGGATGAATTTCCCTTCCTAGAGAATTTCTTGTTGAACTGATTGCTGAGCAGAGCCATCTTTTTCTGCAGATCAGCCAATTCAGATTCAACATCCACTTCTTCTTCACTGTCTTCTTCTTCTGTCTCCACCTTAACTGCCTTCTTCTTCTTCTGAACCTTAGATGAACTCTTTGGTTTAGCTTCAATCATGAGTGCTAAAGGATTAGCAGAAAAGCTTCCTTCCATCTCAGCAGTGTCATTCACAAACTGCTGAAGATGCTCATGAAGTGTGCAGAGATCTAGTTCATCTAAGTCCAAGTGTTGTCTCAGGTTCTTTACAGTTCTTTTCCACTCAGGGGGCAGGCTCGACAAGAAACGTATATTCATCTCCATGTTTGATTTCACAACCTTGATCTTCCTCATCTCGTTGATCAGTTGTACAAATCTGTTATACGTTTCATGGAGCGCCTCCCCTGGTGCCGCCTTGAACGCATCATAAGCAGTTAAGATGTTTGCTTTCTTTGTCTTCAGTCCAAGATCAGTTCCAATCATCAGCTTTTTTACTTCATCCCACATCTCTTTAGCAGTCTCCATGCTATCAATCAGAATGTAGATGTCATTTGGGATTGCTTGTAGCAGGAATGTCTTTGCCATAAGATCAGCTTTGATTCTCTGTCTATCCTCTTCAGTGTACTCAGCCTTTGTCTTCAATCTTCGTTCTTGATTAACAGGTGGGTTGTTTGCATCAACGCCATTCACACTTGCCCAAATCTCAGCAGGTCCTTGGGTGAGGGATTCCAGCATAGCGGAAGAGTTATCTTTACTTTCTAGAAAATTTAAGAATCTTGTTCTCCACATCTGGTATTCACCTCTCCTCAGAATTGGGGGCTACTGTCATTACCAAGTGATAAAGCATCCATCTTTGTAGTTGTTGATTTTGAAAAAGATCGTTCGAGTGTTTTGATCAGATAAAATTAAGTTTTTAACTGTAGAATGTCGAAAACCTAATTTTCAGGAATAAGTTCGAGAAGGGGGGTCGAGAACTTCTATCGAGAAGCAGTTTTCGTTATTTTGATATCGAAAACCTTGCTATCGAGAAGCTAGGTTCGAGAAGCAGCTTTCGAAAAGTCAGTATCGAGAACTTTAAGTTCGAAAACTTAGGTTCGAGAACTGAATGTCGAGAAGCCGTATCGAGAACCTGCAAATGCGAAAACAAGATATCGAAATTTTAATATCGAAAACTGAGTATCGAGAACAGAAGTTCGAGAACTCTAATCGAGAACTTATGTCGAGAAGTCAGTGTCGAAATCCTGCAAATCAAAAATCAATTTTAAACAGATAAAACAGCTTTTCGGTAAAGGTCCTTGATCTCGAGAATCTCTTTGTGCAGTTTGAAGACTGAAACACTTGTAGAAGCCTCGAGAAACCTGCTTTTCGATATCAGAATATCGAGAACCTCAAATCTGAAACTTAAACTGTTCGAAAATCTAGGATATACTGCTTGCTCGTTTTGAGAGGCGATTTCAGCAGTACATCTTTTACACTTTTTCGTTCAAAAATGAGATTACAGCGATTAAAAGGGTACAATATCGAAAAGAAGAAAACAGAGGACTTCGAAAACTTTTTCTTCGGCGATCACACTCGAGCAGGCTCTGATACCAGTTGTTGGTCCCAGTTTATGCAGACTAACGATCAACTAGATGGTATTCAACGATTAAACAGAAGAAAAGAAGATCTGATAATGATAAGGCAATATCGAGAACAGAGAAATTCTTCTTCTAGTTTATCGAGAACTATTTGGGCAGCGTAAGGCTTAAGTGTATTGATCAATTCGATTCTCTTTGGTACCTGTACACAAGGCGCGTATTTATAGGCGCTGTACAGGTTACCGATTTAGGTAAACCTTGGAAGTTGGGCCAAGGCCTTTTTGGGCCTTATTCCCTTTACCTTATTTATTACATATTAATACTAATCTAATACCATAAATGGTATAACTAGTCTACTTTATTTAAACAAGACATTACAGACAAACTTGACCCACAATAAAAGTTCTAACATGATTAAATGTGAAGTAAGGAATACTTGAGTTATTGACATGATCAAAGTGATATAAATCCGTAGTGATTAATTGTATGTGCTATCTATAGTATTGAATTAGATAGGCATGAACTTAGAATGAGTGATGGACTATGGTCACACTCAAAGGAAATGGTGGAGTCTACCTAGACTATATGAAGGCAGCCCGGGGAGTCTTGATGAAGACTAGCCCGAGGTTGATAGATTATGATTGCTCGTGTACAATGAGTATACGGGGATATATATACGGGGTGTGTAAGCCCTAACGAGATAAAGGATATTACGCGGGGTGTGTAAGCCCTACACGAATAAAGCATTACGCGGGGTGTGTATGCCCTAATGAATAAAGTATTACGCGGGGTGTGTAAGCCCTAATGAATGAAGCATTATACGGGGTGTGTAAGCCCTACATGATAAAGTATTACGCGGGGTGTGTAAGCCCTAAATGAGTAAAGTATTACGCGGGGTGTGTAAGCCCTAAATGAGTAAGGTATTACGCGGGGTGTGTAAGCCCTAAATGAGTAAAGTATTATACGGGGTGTGTAAGCCCTACACGAACTAAGAATATACGGGGTGTGTAAGCCCTAAATGAATCAAAGATATAATGCTGGGGGTGTAAGCCCAAAATGAATGAATACACCCGTAGGGTGGGTAAGTCCAACGTGGACGAGTACAAATGATAAATTGTGTAACCCTCTCGATGGAGTTGGGTTTAGACTAGGGGTGGGATAACCTCTCGATATTGCTATATGCATGAATAGGCCAAGGGCTATACAAAGGGAATTGTTTGAAATAAAAATGAACCTACGGGTTGACTATTTTGACTTGGTATATATATTCTATACAAGTGATTTGAAATGGGGTAGCTGTAGGTTATGCCCATAATATAGTATCACCCTATGTTGAGGGTCTTGTGTTTGAAACATGAATTATATTCAGTATAGTTGTCATTGTACTTGTCAAATGCTTCCAAGTACTGACCTCCCCTTCACGGGGGAGGCCACCTCACAGTTTCAGGTAGAAGCTAGAGCTTGCTTCCTGTTCCCGTTGCTTCGGGTGATCCATGGAGAGAAGACGTGGTTCGTGCTTCTTCCAGTTCTATTTGGATATAAATAAAATAATGCTCATGGACTATTTTTAAATTATAAATGATTTGGGAGCCTGCGTGCTCATGTTCGCCCTGTGTGGCCTTTTACTTTTTAAAAAGTATTTGTATTCCGCTGCGTATATTTGAAATGCTTTATTTATGATTGTTTATGGATGTACCTGTGTGAATGGTATTCATGTACGCCTAGCATGGTTCGAGTAGGGTGAACTGCGGTTGCCTTAATCGGATTATGCGGCGGTTGTTAGCGCGTCCGGCCAGACCGGGGCGTGACATTAACTCTTCAATTTTATCCTCCAACCTCCTGAATGTGACATGATTTGAGGTTCTACCAAAAAACTTCTCCACAACTCCCTTGCGATTTTCATCAATGGAAAATACTGGGATATTGTCGGATGGTTTTATCCCAATGATGTTACAAAAATCAGCAAATATGAATTTGAACAATTGATTTTTGATAACAAACCACAACTCATCTTTTGGTTGGTTTTTGGCTAAGTGCAACAAAAGAAGATGGATAATCTGACCAGAAAATTTGATATCCCCTGCACCCAACAGATGACCCCAAGGGGTGTTATGGAAAATCTCCATCTGCTTGATGGACAGGCCAGATGATAGCAACTCTGACACATCTTTAAATTTAGAACATACTGTATATTGCGCTGGGAAATGCTTTTCAACAGGTATTTGCAATTGAAGATTCCTATGACAAATATAAAAATAACACAAAAATGTTAACATCTATAGTATACAAAGAGCTTGTTTACAGTGAGCTTATTTAAGATACTAGCCCACATGAACTGTAAGTAATCCTCTTTTTCCACAATATATTTTATGTTCCCCATACTGTCTTATCATCAAACTTAGACGTTTATCAATGTTTTCTAATACCATGATAAGTAATCTTCTTTTTGATGAAATTACATTAACATATTTGGTTGACAGAACATGATACTACCAAGGATTTTTTTTTTAAAGTAGTTCTTACATGGACCTCTTGAAATAATCCTTAACTCAAATACTACAGAAATTTTGGAAATTCTCTAAAACTTTGTCCATATTTAAGTATTAATCACCTCTATGTAGTATTTAAACTTTATCTATATCCAAGCCAATTCCTTGCGGTCGGTTAACCGTACCATGACTTAAATAAAATCGATACGGCTAATCGATAAAAGCAACGATTTTACGGTTTTTCGGTATGATTCAAGTGTTATGATTTTTTTGTGCCCACCCTTACCTCAAACTACAATGACAATATAAAATTCTCAATAATTCACACTCAATATAAATTACTCAATACTATTCTGTTAATTCAACATACTCACACATAATGTTTGTTAATTCAATATACTAAAAATAAAAAATTTCAAGGAAAATACAAATTTATTAAAAATCCATTGTGATAATGTAAAGGTTATCAATTTCATGAAACATCGAGTGTATGGATAGGGAGGCAGTCTGGATGGTTCAATTATTTCAAAGTTTTCACATAAAGTTTTTGTTTACCTATCAACCATTGTTGTTCAAGAGCAGGGGAGGTAGTCTGGACGCTTCAAGAAGGAGGTCTACGACGGGTCTGCGGCTGTCTGCGACGGGTGCGGACTTCTAGCGAGCGGGTATCACCTATTCCTGCTGCGAGAGGGATTCTGCAACAGCCTGTGCGACGGCCGAGGGTTTGCCGCGACTTCGTGATGGGGCTGCGCCAGACTTTGTTCGGGGGGAGGTGGGAATGGTCTGTGACTGCTATGGAGTGTGGGGACTTCGTTCGGACTTCAGCGGAAGGAGATGGTCATGGAGTGTGGGGACTTCAGCTGAAGAAAGGGGACGAAGGGTTCTGTTTTTTTGGAAAAGGAGGGCTGGCTTTTTTGGGGGGGATGGGGGTAAAAAAATAAATGTACTCCGTATTTATATGGTGTACACTAAAGTGTACACCTTTGTGTACAAAAAGCAATTTTGATATATCTTCCTCCCTCGCTGTCTAAATCTCAGCTTTTTACCCACTCTTTATGAGGTACTTTTTTTAGATCATTTTTGTTCGATTTGCTTTATTTTCTGATCTGCGATCTTTCTTTCGTCTTAGGCTCATCTGATTGCGGAAAAGAGAGATTCAGAAAAGATATATAATTTCTCTTTAATCAGACATGTATCTCTCTATATAAATCAATACATGTAACATATGCGATATTATTAGGGGTTTGATCTTGTATTTTATGAATTTTTATTCAGTTTCTGTTAAAACAAAAACAATCGTTGTGCTAAAGCTGAACTAGGGCTTTTCTTACTGTGTTCATTTCGTGAAAGGCTGAATCTTTATTTGGGTATTTGGGCTGAAATGAATCTTATATGAGTTGCAGCATCGATACTGTGTGGCATTTTTTGTTGCTGATATAATTTTTCTCTATGTGGTTTACTTTTTGTAGTAAGTGGCAAGTATAAAGTTGGTGAAAGGTTCTAATTTGGGGGTTAAAATGATTAATATCTGTGATTGAGTGTGGCTAGGTTGAAACTTTCCTGTAATGGAGCAAGGTACAGCTTCAAACCCTGCTCAACCATCTGGATCCTTTGACAAGTCAAGAGTGCTTGACGTCAAGCCTTTAACATGTTTAGTGCCTGTATTTCCATCTGCGGGTGGAATGTCACCTATTGGGTCCCCACAACCTTCACCCTTTGTATGTGTTCCTCCAACTGGCCCTTTTCCTCCTGGGGTTGCTCCCTTTTTCCCCTTTATGGCACACAACTCTGGAGGAAGACCAACTGAACAAGGGCCAACTGCTAAGCCCATGTTCCCTACTCCTATACATTCGTTCAGAACTCCGACTGGAAATGGAAGTACTGCGAGATCAAAGAGGACCGGTAGAAGAGTGGTAGAAGATGACAATGGCTGCAGTGACTCCCAGAACCAGAGTGGCTCTAGCATGCCTGTTATTGACGAAGAGGACACCAGCACAGGAGGACGAAAGGGAAAATCTGAAAAAAAGGTGAGGACAAGGCCCAAGATGGACAATGCTTTTATTGAAGCGTATTATGAACCCATGCTTAATAATCTTATTGAATCATTCAAACTCACTGATTTGGATACATATAAGAAGGCTGATGGTGACAAGGAAACTGTCAGGCGCTTATTATTGGCTTATAATTTGTTAAGAAGAATGATGACACAATCCGAGGAGAAGAGGGATCCAACTGCCGGAGCTTCCAAACGCCCAGATTTGAAATCTGGAGCAATGATGATGACAAAGGGGATTCGTACAAATCTTACAAAGAGGATAGGGAATGTACCCGGGGTTGAAGTAGGAGACATCTTCTTTTTTAGAATGGAGCTATGTTTGGTTGGGGTGCATGCCCAAAGTATGGGGGGTATAGATTTCATGAGTGTAAAATCATCTCTGTATGAAGAACCTCTCGCTCTCTGCATCGTCTCTTCAGGAGGATATGAAGATGAGGGAAGTGATGCAGATATGCTGATTTACACTGGCCAGGGTGGGGTCCAAAGAAAGGATGGGCAAATGTTTGATCAGAAACTTGAAAGGGGAAATCTTGCTCTGGAGAAGAGCCTGCATCGTGCCAATGAAGTCAGAGTTATTAGGGGTTTAAAAGATTATATGACAGTAGCTGGGAAGGTCTACCTGTATGATGGTTTGTACAGAATTGAGGAGTCATGGGCAGAGAATAACAAGTCCGGGCTCAACATTTTCAAATACAAATTGGTCAGGTTGCCTGGACAGCCTGAGGCTTATACCATGTGGAAACAAATTCAGCAATGGAAGGACGGTCTTGCTTTACGGCCTGGTATCATCTTATCAGACCTAACATCTGGTGTGGAGAGTCAACCTGTTTGTCTGGTCAACGAGGTTGATAACGACAAGGAACCTGCTCATTTCACGTATATCCGAACTCTTAAAGACCCAAAACCCTTTTTAATGCTCAATGATTCTTTGAGCTGTCATTGCACAGGTGGATGCCGTCCTGGTAACTTCAACTGCCCTTGTCTCCAGAAAAACGGAGGCTTTCTGCACTATAGTGCCCTCGGGGTTCTCTTGACCTACAAATGCTTTATACATGAGTGTGGTCCGTCCTGTTCCTGCCCTCCGAACTGCCGAAACCGAATATCTCAAGCAGGCCTTAAGGCTCGTTTGGAGGTTTTCAAAACAAGGAATCGAGGTTGGGGACTTAGGTCGTGGGACCCTATTCGCTCAGGTGGTTTTATATGCGAGTTTGCGGGTGAAGTCATTGATGCATCAAGGGCAGGTGAGTATGGGAGGGAAAGTGGGGATAGCTATATGTTTGATGCCACTCGTAACTATCCACCATTGGAAGTTGTGCAAGTTGGTCAGAGTAACTCTCCGGAAATCCCATTCGCCCTAGTTATAAGTGCAAGAAGTTATGGAAATGTAGCTCGCTTTATGAACCATAGTTGTTCACCAAATGTGATGTGGCAGCCTGTTGTGCGTGAGAATAATAATGAGGCATATTACCATGTTGCCTTCTTTGCCATCAGCCACATTCCTCCTATGCAGGAGCTGACTTTTGATTATGGAGTGATCCCATCAAATAGAGCAGCAGATCGCAGGAGGAAGAGGTGTTTGTGTGGGTCACCAAACTGCAGAGGATTTTTTTACTAGCAGTCTATGGAGCTTCAGATAATATCATCATCTGGGTTAGTAACATCTTTCCCCTACTCACTCTGCCTCATTGCTGTGACAAGCACTCCCGTGAGACCTATCACTTTTCAGTTCTGAACTAGAACTGATCACTATGATAATGCGCTTAAATTATCCCAAATAGGAGTAAAACTAGGATAAAAATAAAAAATACGACTTCTTATGTTTTTATTCCCAAATAGGACCATATTACTCCTATTTTAAAACACACGTATTTTTTCATTCCATTCTTACCCCTCCTTTAAATAGGAGTAAAAGGTAGTCAAGAGTCATAATGAAATGTTTTAATTTATAATAAAATCGTAAAAAATAATAAAAATCATAAAAAACTAATAAAAATCATAGAAAAATGATAAAAATTAATAAAAATATTTATAATTTAAAAAAATAATAATAAAAATAGTAAAAACCCATCTGAAAAACAAAAAAATATGGATATCTTTCCCACCGCCTCTACTGCCTCGTTGCACCACCACCTCTGACCGGTGTAAAAAATGTCATTTTTCTGAAAATGCCAAAAAATGGCATATTATTCTTTGATAATGCCAAATTTTCATTGAAATTGCCATTAATATGGCATTACTAATGCATGTGGCATTTTTTTCCCGGTGACCGGAGGTGGTGGTCTGGGGGTGGCAGACTGGCAATGGCGGCAGCGATTTTTTTTTTTTACGTTTTTTTTAATTTTTTAAAAATATTTTTTTATTTATATTTGATAAATATTTTATTATTTTTTTTTATTGTTTTTTACGATTTTTTCTTATTTTTTATGATTTTAGTATGAATTAAAACATTTCAATAGCTACAAGGATATATTTGTCCAAACACACATAATTAGTCCTACTAGTGAATTAAAAAACAATGTTGTCCTATTTGTGATTATTGACAACCTTTTACTCCTATTTAGGTTATTAACCCTTTGTTTTTTATTTAAAAAAAAATTGTTTTAACGAGTGAATGTCTTTACCCCCAAAAGTATTAGTGTCCGTTTGGTACCTTTGTTTTTGGGGCTATACGCTTTATCAACCAGATTTGCCAGCAATCACCCACTTTTATTCTACGCTTATAATTATTCAATAATGAAAAAGTGAGGTTGAGATCACTTTTTGGCTGAATTGGATGAAAATGTTGAAAGATGACCATTTTAGTTGTTTTCGTAAATTTTTTCTTTATTAAAATAAAATATATTTTAAATGGGTAGTACTCCCTCCGTCCCAATTTGTTTTGCAAAGTCAACATTTTTTGGTCAACCAATAATAAAAGTCAACTCTCCCTATGGATAATTAATTCATTTTTTAATCGTTAAAATTTACATATTCAAAAACCATATTAAAATCTCTACAAAGTTGTAAACTCCAAATTAGAAAATAATAATAAATTGACATCATAATTAAGTGAACAAAACGAGACTGTTTGACTAATAAAAGTCAAATTTGCAACTCTTTTTGGGATGGAGGTAGTATAATTTTTTCATAGTTGAGCACATTTTATTCAAGTTTTCAACCATAACTTCAGCAGTTTCGGTAGCTTCCAACCATAACCTCATTCAATTTTAGCCTTGCCAAACAGGCTCTTAGCTTGGAGTTGAATAGTGATGGGTCTCTGGACTCTCAGCTGTTTGAATCTTTCTCATGTAATTATTTGTGCTGAAACAAATATAGATAATGTGCTTACAGAGTTCACTTTTTTTTTACTCCGGGGGGTCTAGGCCTCTGGAGAAGGGGGCTGGAGGAGTGGAGGGCCCTAGAGTAATCAAGACTGAAACTCACTCCATTGAATTTCGAACTCTTATGTTCCTAGCGGGTTGCTTACAGAGTTCACTTTGATTTGCTTTTATTGATTCTATTTTGCAGGCTGTAGAGGATACAGATCCAGCAATGCCCCTAAATAAAAT